GGCTAAACGTAACCACGTGTGTGTTGGCTAAACGTAACCACGTGTGTGTGTTGGCTAAACGTAACCACGTGTGTGTGAGTCGGCTAAACGTAACCACGTGTGTGTTGGCTAAACGTAACCACGTGTGTGTGTTGGCTAAACGTAACCACGTGTGTGTGAGTCGGCTAAACGTAACCACGTGTGTGTTGGCTAAACGTAACCACGTGTGTGTGTTGGCTAAACGTAACCACGTGTGTGTGAGTCGGCTAAACGTAACCACGTGTGTGTTGGCTAAACGTAACCACGTGTGTGTGAGTCGGCTAAACGTAACCATGTGTTTGTTGAACAGAAGTTTATTTTTTTTATTTTTTCACTGGTAATAGGTTTGTCTTGTAGCAGCAGAGGGCGTGGTGTGTAGGGCTGATTCATCGACATAATCGATTATGAAAATATGTCGATTTGCAAACATGCGTCGCCGAGTCGTAATAAATGAAGCTGCACCCGCTGAAAGCGTGGAGTCCTCCAGAAAACGAGCTGCAGCTGAAAATCTCGCCAACAAAGTGAAAATGAGTCCTGACAGGAGGAAAACTGCAGCACTGACACTCAGAGAGACGGTGGCAGAGAGCACCATGCTGTTTACTGCTGGTCTCCACCCAAACATGATATATATCAGGACTATCAACAACAAACGTGTCTCTGTCAGTCTGAGTCACTTTAACTTTGTGCACAGCGTGCACCATCTGATGGTGTTATCCACTGTCTGATATGTTGTGTTTGTTAACGAGCAACATTAACCAACATTACAGACGGTTGTTACGCTCTATAAACGGTTTCATTATTTTCCTCGCCCCACACTGATGCATTAATACATTTAGCAGTAATTATATTTAGTGCGTATCACTGCAGCTATGAATTAAATCCACGTCAGAAACATTTTGAGTTTTAAGTCAAGTACTGAAGAACAAATCCTGATTCTACAGTTGAGGTAACGGACTGCTGCCATATACAGGGATTCAATTATTTAATTATGTATGTGTTACAGTGATGCTTAGAGGTTCAGTACTTTCTGATCAGGTATCTGACACAGATCATTATTATTATTATTATCATGACACAACAGTGACATTCAAAATATGCTGCTATTATCATTGCTTTAGAGATGACTGAATAAAATATTGAAATATTTATGAGACAAGTTTTTGTAATTTAAGTGTTATATTAATCGAGTTTTTTTTTTTTTAAATGATCAGTAAATAAGTCGTTCGATGACTCGATTAATCCAAAAAAAAAAAAACAAGATGAAGAATAATGGTTAGGTGCAGCCCTAGTATCAGCAGGTGTCGAGTGGCTCGTTTATAACCACGGTCTACGTCCGGTGAGTCAGGACGTGTCCACGTGGCGTCCTTCTTCAGCGGGGACAGGGCGCTAGGGAGCGTTTTTTTGATGATGCACTGCGCGTGGGTTTTGTTTCTATGACAACAATATCTTGACACAAACATTAGACTGGTAGCTATTAGGGATGTCCCGATCCAGCTTTTTCCATTTCCAATCCGATACCAATATTACAGCCTTGAGTTTTGGCTGATACCAATCCGATCCAAGCGCGTATTATACATATTCACTTATTTTGTTGTCAGTCATGTTAGAAAAGGTTTGATCAAGCAATATTACTCTAACAAGAACAACTACTTAATCGGGTTAGTTAGAATGATCCACAACAGTTGGTATGAGAAACTGACCTGTTTGTTGTTAACAGGGTTAAATAAACAAACTTTAAACTTGAACATTAACATTAAATAAAAAATATAGCTGGTTTGCTTTGGCCCCTTAATAAATAGAAAATAAATCAACACAAGAAATCTTTAAAATGTCTAACACTGAAATTAAAATAGCAGCAAGACTCCACACACTTGTGCTTTGCTCCCCTAATGAATAAAAAAAAGATTAACACCACAAGACATTGTTGACATTTAACAAACAATGCAGCCTTTCCTTTTCAGTTATTTTAGTAGTGTCAGTGCCAGCCTGGTGCACAGGCACATAATATTGTACAACTGTTTAAACAAGCAATAGTCCATCCAGGCTCCAGTTTCACTAATTGTGCCCAAAACAATGCCATCAGTGCTCTTTACTTAAACAGTAAGAGTGTAAACCAAATAAAAATATCACTCTCAAGTTGACCACTACTCCTCCTACCCTACCCTCCGTGTGTGTCTGCCGTCTGCATGCTGGCCTGGTGGATTGATAGTAAGAGCTGGAGCGGATCTCTGGAATGGACCGCTTGAGCGCTGGGCTGGCCGGAAAACCTGGATCGGACTTCGTGAAAAACTGGATCGGAGTTCTTGGATCGGCATTTTTTCATGCAGTCCGATCCGATGCCGATGCCCGTTTTTTGATATTCGGATAGGTATCGGCTGACGATATTAGCAAAAAACGGGCATCGGCATCGGACATCCCTAGTAGCTAACTTACTGCTACATCAACACAGGGTCGATTGCACAGTTAACAACAAGCTAACAAAGCTAACGGTGAACACCACGCTCAGCAGCATCATCCAGTGATGTTGTCTTGTTGTGACTGCAGCTGAGCTAAAGCAGCGACGTCATGGCCGTCTATCTAAAAAATACAGCGATTTTCAACGAGGAGTGCTCGGAACGACCACACAAAAAATGCAGAACGGTCTGAAAAGAAAAGCCCCTGAGCACGTCTCTTTTTCTCTAAGCAGAAGCAAATTCTCTCTCCTCACTGGAACAAATGAAAAATGGTGCTGGTGGTAAGAAATAAACGTAATGTGGCCACAGGCTCTCAGACTGCAGACAGGCCGAGGCTCCGATCACTGGCAAAAATGCCTTAGAGAGCACTTAGAGCACAGAAACATGAGGCGTGTAGAAACGCAAAAACAGCAAGCAAAAAGTTTAGTTCACGTTAAAAACAATCACAAAAAGCTCCATTGTCATTATAAACTCTAAGCTCAGGTCGTTTAGCTCGGGATATTTCTCAACCTCAACAACAAGTCTCTCCTCATCCATTCTTCATCACACATGAGACACAGCAACAGCTACAGAGTTCTCTTCATGGTGAGGAGAGGAGTCGAGCTGCTGTGGGAGCTGGTCTGTACATGCACAGAGTGAGTGGAGGAAAAATACATTTAATTCAGGGGCGTCGAGGCTGGAAAAAGGATAGTGGCGTGAAGTGCCACAGGGCGTCCAGCAGTGTGACATGTGTCTAGCTGCCGCCGGTGTGGGGTTGTACATTGAAAATAATGGGGCGTATTTTTTGAATCGCCGGGTTCAGCACTGGTGTGTTTTTATCTTAAGGGTGGTTTGGGCTCAATGACATGATCTCCTGCTCACAACACAATAATCACATGATGTTCACGAGGTTGAGAGCCATTGAAAAAATGTATCCTGAACTTTAAATCTGTTTCTTTCCCCAGCTGGGAACCAGGAAACACAAACAGCAACTGAGAGACGTCTGTTGAAGATGGTTGTGTCGACGCTGCAGCCCTTGGTAATCACACAAGATGCTAACTTTCAGAGTTTCGTTAAAGCACTGGACCCCTGTCTTCAAATTCCCACCACATCTGTGATCCGCTCGCAGCTGCTCAGCTTCTACCAAGAAAAAACAAACAGTTTGCGATTGATCTTGGCCTCCGCTGACCACGTTGTGCTAACATGTGAGCTGTGGGCCTCCGGAGCTGAAGACTACTGTCTGACGGTGGGTTGCCATTTTGTGAACAAGTATGGGAACCTCAAGTCTTACATGCTCCAAACTACCAGCCTGTTCGGAGACGATTCTGCAGCCAACATTCAGAATCAGCTCTCAGCCGTCATGGAGGCGTGGGGCATTGAAGAAAAGGTCCACACTGTGATCAGAGCTGGGATGCCACAACTGAAAACAGTTAAAACCAAATGGACACACATGCCTTGTTTTGCTGACACCTTGAATGTGTTATTTAAGGATCTGATGAGTGACGAGGAGCTGTCGAATGTTCTCACAAAGTGTCAGAGGATCGTCAGGTTCTTTACGATTTTTCTTTATGATGCTGAGGCTGAGAAGATGCTCAGAGAGATTCAGAAGAAGCTCAAAGTGACACAGGATGAGCTGATCATGTACTCTGGGGACCGATGGCTTCCCTGGCTGCAAATGCTTCAACGACTGAATGAGCAGTACAAGGCCATGGTGATGGTGCTTGATGACAGAGGCAAGACAGATTTAATTCTGAATGAAACGGATAAAGAGAAAATCAGGAACATCATCTCAGCTCTGAAACCCTTGAAGGAAGCAGCGTCCACAATGGAAAAGGGGTTTGAGACCATTTCGGCCATGCTGCCACTGCTGAAGAAACTCATGAACAATCTCAGAGAGGAAGAAAAGAAAAAGAATCTTGTGGCGCAGACACTGTTGTCAAAATGTGAAAAGAAATTTGGTGACGTAAACAACCACGTACTGGCTCCCATCACGTTCCTTGATCCAAGATTCAAAAACCAGCTGGGAGAGCAAAACAAAAAACAAGCGATGACAAAGATCATGAAGGATCTCGCTGCAGGCCCCGCCTCCTCCTCTGCTCCTTATCTGAGGGCTGTACTGGACAGGTACATGGACCACGAGTCGACTTCAGAGACGTCAAACCCTTTGTCCTGGTGGAGGCACACAGGAAAGCAGCATTACGGCGAACTAAGCCAGCTCGCTCTGAAGAAACTTGGGGTTGTCTCTACCGCTGTTCCCCTGGAGAGAGCTTTCTCCGATGAAGGTGATCGATTCTGTAAACTTAGGAGCTCCATTGAGCCCGAAAACCTCAACATGATCCTGTTCCTCAACAGCAACTGGTCCACAATATCTTAGATACAAATCTGTTGATCTCTGCACAGATGAAAACACACACACCCAACTGAACTCACCCCAGCAAGCCAAATGACGTCCGGTTAACGTCGTGTTGATGTCATTCGGAGACGTTCCGGACTAGTCTAAATCACGGCCAAATAGGCGACGTTTTAGACGTCATTTCCAGGATGTCCTCACCAAGACGTCACCTCGACAGCTTGAAATGACGTTCAAATGTCCCCCTATAGAAGGAATCGCCTTGTTGTTTACAAATACTAATGGGTAGAAAACCAGCAGAGTTTATATATATATATATATATATATATATATATATGTGCAGGGGTGGGTAGTCATTTACCTTCGTTACAACTACTGCATATTTCCAAATAGTCCCCCGGTGGCAAATAGCCGCTGGGCACACCTAGTAGCCGCTGGGAGTTTGACCCCATTTTGCGTATTAAACGCTGGTCCGATTAAACACCGGTCCGATTATTTCCTCATTCATTGCCTCAAGGAGGGGTGCGCTTTTACGCACGGGTCAGTGGTGAAGTGGTGCACATGACTCGTGCTATGGACGGACGGACAGACAGCCACGTATCTAAAACAGGTAATACATCTGGCTACATCTTTCCCACATCAAATATCCGTGATCGCCTTGATCCGCATGAGTAAAAGCACACACAGTGCGTGTCCTCTCACCGCGGATGCTGTGATTTGATGGTCCGGTACTCATTGTAGCCCACTCTTATAAGACCCAATAATAATAAGTTAGTGTGGACCTATATGCCATGCCTTTTAATAAAATTACCAGAAGAGTTCGCTGAAAAGCAGGTAATGTCTGAATTACTCGTGTGCGTCCCCGGTGAAAATCGCTGACATGCATGGGGAATACAGCTTCTACAGGCTCGCCATAGCTTACTGTCAGGACTCAGGGACCAGAATTCGGGATGGCGGACCGTCGGGATGGCGATATTTCGGTGTAGCGGCCTGTAACTGTTGGTTAAATGGCCCGTTCGGATAACTGGGGCTTTACTGGTATAATGCAATAGCACCACCCTGCGGTGAACCCCGTGTACACGACAAAAATGACTGGAGCCAGTGAAGAGCTTCTTTTGTTTGAAAAGAGCCAACTAAGTTAGCATGTTAGAGATTTATGCACATATAATCCCAGTTTAGGACATATTTCTTACAAAACAAGGGAGAGATGGGATTTTCATTTTGTTACTGACGTGGTCATTTGTAAAATAGTTCACCTGACACCTGGTGATCTGGCAGGAAAGTCCTACAGGGACCTGTTATACCTTTACAAACACATTTTGGCAACATGTAAAGCTGGAACTTGGGAACATTATAGTGCTATTGTTTACCATATATTGTTTCTTAATTATTTTATTGGATTTTATTTATTTTGTTAACAGCGAAAAAGACGTAGAAAAGACAAATTAGTTGGGATGTCATTTCTGTTTTAAAGCAAGGTCATCCACTCAAATTACAGAGGTGAGGAAAAGAGGGGCAGAGTGAAGGAGATGGAGAGAGGAAGATCGGTACCTGCTTCATTAAAAAAAAGTTTGATCAACAAGTGCTGTTTTTTCATTATTTTGCACTGGTCCGCAGCACCCTAAAAAATATTCAAATGGAAAGTAACTTGTACTTGAGTAAATTATTAACCAGGTACTTTTTACTTTTACTTGAGTAGGTTTCTCAAATAGTAATTTTACTTCTACTTGAGTAATTTTTTATGGCAGTAATTGTACTTTTCAGTACTCTACCCACCCCTGTATATATGTGTATATGTGTATATATATATATATATACACATATATATATCTATATAAACTCTGCTGGTTTTCTACCCCTAAGTATTTGTAAACAACAAGGCGATTCCCTCTAATCAGCTGTGATCTGGCCCACTTTCTTCACCAATCGCCAAGAAGACTCAAACTTCGGTCGCAATCTAAAAAGTTTTTGTACTACGCCTTCACTTAATCACATGAATAAATAAATTAATTAATTAATACATATATATATATAATAGAGATGGGGTAATAGTCTCTGATGTGACTGGTCATGATGTGACTCAATCACGACCCCAGTCGGGCTCTCTCGGACACGTCCGGGTCCGTCCGTGTTTGCTGGGACAGATTAACCCCGGGCCACTGCGTCCTACAAAACTCCAGGATGCTGCGATCACAAGAACTGACACAAATTCAGCCAATCCCCCTGAATTCTGCACGACCTCACCACTTTGTCAAAACAGGAATAACCTCCTTTTACTGTCGAGCTGCTGCTGCTGTGTTAGCTCGTGCTAACCAGGCAGAGAGAGCAGGAGGACAGTGATTCAAGGCGACGGTCCTGCAGCACTGCATCAAAGCTGCATTTCAGCTCCCCCCATCACAAACAGATTGTAATTCTGTGGGAAACACCAGAGGCTCATAGAAACAGGCATCAAACTATATTTGCAATAATCACTTGGCCCCAAAACTTTACTGCAAATAAACGGCTCTGAACTCAAAACATGAGCTGCAGCTTTTACGAAGCGCTGCCGTGAAATCAGACATTTCAAATATGGAGGAGCTGATAAAAAGACCTCTTCAGTGTCACAGATGTTGACGTGACGACAGAAACTTGATTTTCAACTTAAGGTTTTTTGTGTTTGTCTTATTTAGTGTGCCGGGGAAGCACAAGGCAACAGTGCTTATTATGCGTCCGTCCTCTTCTGCTTCACCTTCTGTTTGGACTCTCACTGCGCTACTCGTCTTGTACTGTTGCCAACACAAGGACAAAAAGACAAAAGTACATCAACACATGCAGAATGATCAGGGACAGTGTGCTATGACTTTAATCCCCCCGGCCATTTTCACAACAATCTAAAAAAAACGCCGCCTCTCTACACAACCCTTGTAACCGACGCAGACGTGCAGTGGAGCGTTTCAGACACTCCCAGGAACTAATGTAAATACACCCCTTGTCTCTGTTGGATGCACAGATCAGTTCTCTTGCTAACAGAAACTGTACATGAAATATAAATACAGCGAATGGATGTATTTTTAACAACTAAATATCTTCATAAGGATTATTGATGGTAAAACCTCTGCAGGTTACAGCACCGACACAGGAGGAAATAACAACAGTTAACACAGACCTTCATGTCCTGTTTACTCACTCGCTGGTGACAGAAGCACAAATATCAAGGACAATGACCAAATTGACAAAATCTGCACAGCTACAAAATCTGGCAGGCGAAATGCTCCCGATCAGGTATGGCACCTTGTGATGGACGAAACAAAACCGGGTTGCAGGTGGACCTCAGAGAGCTGAATCGTCCTTCTCGACTCTCTTACATCAAGATGGCAGCAGAGAACTGAAACAGGGACTAATTCATCTCATACGGCGTCTAGCTTTAGTGGATCATAACATATCAGGTTTGGAATTAATCTGCAGATTCTCCAGTTCAAAATGAGACCAAACCACGGCAAAAGACAAAACAAAACAAAACATGAGGCTGACAGCTCCAGTAGTTTGTGAGACCAGCTGCAGACAGACAGATTCACACGCACACAAACCTAAGATTAAAGACGTGAGCTTGTGAGGTCGTCGTGGGTTCAGCTGCTGGACAGGGAGGATAAAAGTGGTGAATGAAAAGTGATAAAGCGGCGCTCGTTATGACCGCTGAGCCTCTCCAGTCCACCTCAGCAGCATGTGGAGCTGAAACAGTGACACTAAGTTTTGGCATCACAAATCAAAGATGGCACTGAAAAAGGAAACGCTGGTGCTGAAAAAAGGCCTTAAAATTGTTTTATTATGATTATTTTGCATTCTTAAGTTTTTCAAGACAATCATTAGTCTTTACTGTTTTTTTCACTGACAGTTTTGTTTTTGTTTTGTTTTGTTTTGTTTTTTTAAATTATGAGACAAAATAAAAAAAAAAAAAAATTAATTAAAAAAAGAAAAATAAATAATTCCAAAGATGGCTTCTGTCATTTCAGGTAGTTCTTTTCAAGCTATTTTATTTTTCTGATATGTTTGGTTTTAATTTGTTATTTGATGTCATTTAAAAAAAAAAAAAAGGGGAGAAACTGAGGTCATGATTGACAGCTGTGTGTGCCAACCGGTGTGCTCGCTGTCTGTGGCGCTGCTCAGGATTTAGTCGGACAGTGTGTGGGCGGGAACTTGATACTGGCAGACTTTGACTCCAAGTGATGTCACCATCTCAAGATGGCAGTGGTCGTATCTGAATATATATATACATACATACATACATACATACATACACACACATATATATATATATATGTATGTGGTCTCACTCTGAAGTCATTGAATACTGGCGCTTGGTCCGTGACTTCAGGTGTCAGACAGCGACGATGATGATACGCAGCTGGTCAGTGTGTAACAGCACCTGACAGCGTCAGGGGGGAAACACAGCGGGACAACAACAAAAGTTAAGGCAGTGGAAATATATATATATAATAAAATTATATAAAATTAATAATTAAAGATAAGAAGTAAAATTTTAGTGGTTATTAGAAAATTGTTTTCAAAATTCTATTTATTTTAATTTTGATGCTAAAACAGATCAAACTGGTTATACTGGGCAGCTCCTGTGTGTGTGTGTGTGTGTGTGTGTGTGTGTGTGTGTCCTGCAGCCAGCAGGGGGAGCCACCACCACACAGATATCTGAACACAAAGTTTCACTGATCGTCATCTGTTCTTTGATTCAACGTGTCGAAACATTTCACACATTTTATTTTAATATATTTTATCTAATTTTTCTGATTCTAAAATGTTGAAGAGATTCAGGTTTAAGATGATTTTAAATGTGTGGAACAAACAGCATGTTGAAAATCTGTTTTATAACTCAGACAGTTTCTTGCTCTGATGATGTCATGTACTCAGTTTGATTTCTCTGTGGCTGTGATGTCATATTTCATGTGAAACATCTTGTAACTGCAGAAATAAAGTGTTTAATGTGTTTAATTCCAGAGGTGGAGGAAGACTGTGATCTTTTACTGGTGTGAAAGTATTAACACTCCTCTCTGTGCTGACGCTCCGCTCTGCGCTGCAGGTCTCAGTCAAAATCTATCCTCCTGGGACCCAGAAGAAAAAAGTTTTGATATCATGATTTGTTTTATGTAATTTAAGTATTAGACTTGAAAGAAACATTTTGCATCAAAAAAAATTTTCAAAAATATTATTTATTTATTTTTCATCACACGTCCTCCATCGGGACTTAGT